TATTGACGAAGGGATTATAGTTTCACGGTAAACGAACGAATTTGGTTTTGTCATACCACGTGACATTTCCCGTCACATGTATTGCCCTGACACATTGCTAGATGTCAATCAGGGACGGCGAATGTGAATTGACGATAAATTAAAAGGGGTGTTTTAATTTATCAATTTTGATTAGATCAAAATAATATTTCACGTCGTTAGGCATCGTGGTCGGGAACCTAATGGGTCACACACAAAAGAGAATTGGAAGATTGCAAATTGCCAATTGATTAATTTAACAATCGTTGGATAAATTAATTAATTGGATTTGTTATTTATATTTTCGAATTAATTAATTGGATTAATTAATTCACGGACCGGGTTTAATTAATTGGATTAATTAATTATTGGGCCGGACCGGGCCGAGCCTATTTGGATTTATATAAATACATAACTAGGGTTTGAGGTCCATTAAGGTTTTCATTATTCTTGCTAGCACAAGAGAAAACCCTAGAGGCTGCAATCATTTTCTCTGTGTGGATCACCGTTGGAGGCTGGACAATTGGACAGCTGTGGTGGCGAATCAAAGCTGTGGAACGAAAAGAAAAGCAAAAGGATTGCAGATCTGAAAAAGGTACAATCTTATCACAATTCCTAACCAAACACAATGAGATCTATTGGATGGGAATCGAAATAATTTAATTTTCCGCTGTGCATGTATAAGTAGATTCCCAACAGCTCTCACATGCCCTGCTTGATTCTCATTTCTTTATTTTCAAATGGACCCCTATTCTCTTATACGAAGTTTGTGATAAGCTTCTTTTTTATTATTCAAGTCGACTCTAACTTGAACAAAATCGTCTCAAGATTTAGGCACTCTTTTTGGAAAGATTCGTGATGGATGGAGGACTCAGGTGGACGATTGAGGTGGGGACCATAGTTGGCCTGGTTGTGTGGAGTAACTGAGCAAGGGTGGGAACATAAATATCGTGAGATTTGTAATTTTACAAGACAAATCTAAAATAGTTGGGGAAAAGAAAAAGTTTTTAAATGGAGCAAGTCTAAATGTGTCTTCTTAGACAAATTCATCTTTAATATCGTTGCATCAAGCTTTGGCACGTATCATGCTGAGTTAAGGAAATTTATATATAAAGAGAAATAGTAAATGAGGACCAATTTCTCTCAAAACGATTTTCACAACACGTACGTGCTATCATAATCTCATCTTTAATGCCTCGTTTCTCTTTGTAGTTGGAAATAACATGTTTGGTCTCTATAGATACAGTATGAGAGTTCGATTCCTGAAATATGAAATTGGACTCTTTGTGGGGCACCAGTGTACGAGCAAGCTTTTATTCTCTAGCATATTGGGGCATATCTCGTGATTTACATCTCTCACGATGCTCCAGGGACGGGTTGATGGGGACCCTTAACATTGGGGTTCAACTTTTTTTGGGAAAAGGGGACTATTCCTAACCAAGAAAACTTGACAAATTATGGCAGAAATACCTGTCCCGTTAAATACATTCTGGCATCTAAAAAGAGGGATAGGCTTATTGATGCTTATGTTAGCATATATGCTTGTGAGGGGTTACACAACTTTGTTCAAGTGGCACATTGATGATTTGCAAATTTGAGGTATAACCATGAGAAAACATGAAGTATTTGGTTACATTTTAAGTTTTTCAGGCAAATAAATATTTAATCTAAATGTTTTCAATTCTCGATTGAAAATCCTCTTTAATAACGGCCAAATTGTTGGAATTAAATCATATGCATACTACAATAGACTGAGATCCACCATTTTCACGACATACATGATGAAAATGAGGACATAAAACATCAAATGGTAAATAATAGTGTGAGATTCTTAATGTTACAAGACGAGTTCACAAAAGTTTTAAGGAGTATTAAGGGAGTTAAGGACCATCCCATTTTAAAATGGTCCTTTCGACATACTAATATCATATTAGATGCCCCCACTTTCTTTGTATAGTTGTAAGTAATGTGTTTGATATCTATAGGTACTTGGGGGGAAATGGGACCACTACTAACTAAGCTTGATTAAGAGAGAGGGGCAACTTAAGCCTCATCAATTACGATTGGACTTATGTATGGAACAACTAACTAAAAAGGCTCAAACACGATATTAAACACAAGATACAATGGATCAATGTCAAAAGACAAATCAAAACTTGCAGAAAATTAAAATGAACACAGAGAATTTTTCGACCGAAATCCTAAAGGCTCAACGACCCTTTTAACACCTAATCCCCTGTTAAGCTTCCATTCAAGAATGGATATAGTTTAGTTGCACTAATATGCCTTAAAAACTGGCAACAAAGGTTACAAATGTTCGACCAACACAAGAATACAGTACAAGAGACTTATCTCTTCACAAAAAATCAATAGATCTGACTCGAATCACACAAGAATCAACATATCTCATTCACAAACTCAAAACATAAGAATCCTCTCGTTCTTACAGATTTTCACTCAAGAAAATACATGTATTATAAGACTAAAACATCAAAACCATCACTTTGAATGAGAAGTTTAAACTGTAACGGCAAATCAGAAAATCCTAGCTACAGAGACGAAGAGACCCTCTCAAACCTTTCAGAAATGAAGAACTAGAAAAATGAAAAATCTCAGCCAAACGAACCTTCCAAACTCTATTTATATCACCGGAGCCAGAGACTCATCCAACGGTAAGTAAGGTGCCAGATTTTAGCATCTAGTGAAAAATATGGAGCACAATAAAATCAGGGTTCAAGTCTCAACACAAACAAACTTTATTTTTCTCCTTCTCGTTTCATTCACACTATTAAAATTTTTACACAAACTATGTTAAAATATCTGTCATGTGCATCTGGATGAGAACATTTATGATAATTAAGCATGCATACGTCTCTAATGATTTGTTCATTTGAGGTGTGGTTGTGAAATAATTGACATATTTGGTTTGGCTTTTAGTTTTTCAAGCATATAAATGCTTAACCAAAAGATTTTCAATTCTTATTCGAAAATCGTCTTTAATTGTGGCCAGATTGCCACGAAGATCAACTCCCGCTCTGCTTGAAATAAATTAACATAATGTGGTATCTTAGATGATTGAGTTGAGATCACCCATAGAGTGGTTATATTGTAATCCCAATTTTTTTTTTTAATTGCACTCAAGGTCTTCAATTTTTTTATTGTCACATTTATGTCCTCATGTAACCCATTTCTGTTGTATTCTTAGCATCGATCTTCCATTAATTTAGATGTTAACCATCATGATAAATTATGTCCTAATATTGTGTTACCGTGCCTTTGAATGAGAAAAAAAATATTTTATCACAATTTTGTATTTATTGTCTTTTTCCTATTTGAAAATATTACTTTGTTAGATTTTCCTAGCATACTTTTTTGATGAAAGTTTTTTATCCAAAATAAGATGTGCTGATTAATAGAATTTTAAAAATAAGAATGCGACGTAAATGAAGTTAGGAACATAAAGCAACACAATTTAAGGTTGAGACCTTTTAATGCAATAAATGTAGTGTAACAAGAGAAAAATGAGATGACAATAAAACTAGCCAATATCTTATTCAAAGCGTTTATGAATTTATTTTTATTTTTTTCCCTTTTTCCTTTTTCATAAATTCCTCTTTGAAGCTTTGGTACATAACAGAGTGATATACACATAAGGAAATTGATGTAACCTAGCGGTTCACATGTTAAGCAAATTAATGTGTAAGGAGGAACTCCCTAGCTAGGACTTTCTCATTGAAAATGGTTTTTATAGCATAGTATCGTAATCTCATCTTTAATTGTCTATTTTTCTTATTTATTTATTTACTCTTTTTTTTTTTTTTGGGTAGTTGGAAGTAACATGTTCAATATTTACAGGTACTTAGGTAAAAAGAGGACGGGGCGGCTACTAACTAAGGTGTTTAAGCAAGAGTGGCAACTTAAGCCCCATCTTATCATGGATCATAAAGATTAGAATTTTGTATGTTTCATATATCGTACTCAAAAAACATAAATATATTTTTTTTCTTGTTACTTCCATTGTATTACAGAAAATATATTAGAAATATCGGTCTTGATATATTTTAAATAATTTATAACTCAAAGGACTGACCAATCATGAATGGCGCTTGTAAGTTTAGGTTTGGAGGGCAAAAAATTTGATTTAATTTCAAATTTCATCACTGTCACATTCTGTCACCTACCACCTACAAATTATCGAAAATATCATAACAGATTTTCCAAATATTTAAAAGAATTTTTTTTTTTTTTTTTTTTTTGGTTTTTTTTAACACTTTGATGTAGTATAGTGAAAAATTAGCTTGCTACCTAACGTTTACATGGAAGATCCAACTAAGGGATTTTCATCAAACTAGGAGATTGACAGGTAACAAATTGGTAAAATTTGAAATTTAATTGAAGTTGAATGACTTAATTGAAACTCTCCAGAAGTTTAATGACGATATAATGCCAAGGGTTAGTCTTGTTATTTGCTTCAACTTCAAGACCAAATTCATCTCTCACTTTGTTATTACCTTCTAAAACCAACTCACCCTCCTATAAAAACAGATCATTCTCTTACAATATCAAGATGCCATTGCTCCTAAAGCTTTTCTTGGACATTTCACGCACTAGCGCGACCAAGTAGTTCTACCAGTAAAATGCCGATTTTCATCCATTTTTCTCCTCTTGTCTTCCCCCTCCTCCTCCTCCTCGTCCCCGTAATTTCAACCCCGGAAAAGCACACTATGCCACCAAAACAAGACCTTGTCCGTACCTCATGTGTCCATGCTAGCTACCCCAACATTTGCCTACGAACACTCTCCTCCTACTCAGGCCTGGCCAAAACCCCACGTGACCTCGCCCAGGCAGCCGTGAAAGTCAGCCTCGCTCGAGCTCGTAAGGCCTCCGTCTTCCTCTCCCAGCTAAAGAACCCCAGCAAGAGGGAAGTGGGAGCGTTAAATGACTGCATTGTGCAAATGGGCGACTCAGTGGATGAGCTGAGCGAGACTCTGGAGGAGCTCCACCACCTACACGGCGGAGACTTCCAGTGGCGAATGAGTAACGCACAAACATGGGTTAGCGCCGCCTTGACGAATGAAGACACTTGCCTTGATGGGTTCAAAGAGATTGATGGCAATATCAGATCAGATGTGAAGAAGAAGGTCACTAATTTGGCTAGAATAACCAGTAATGCACTGTATCTCATTAATCTTCTTGATGAATCCCGTGGGAAAAGAACTGTTCGAACTTAGTAATTTATTCTGTATAAAACCGTCAAGTACTCTTCGGTTCTGTCTGTTTGTGTATAATTAATTAATTCCAATCATTAAGAGATAAGCACAAAATTCCTTCATAATTTAACCGATTATTGCTCAAGTTTGAGCGAAATTTCAAATTGGTCATCGCAGTTACTTTTGACAACTATTCACCAACGGTATCAAGGTAAAACTAAGCGTGCATAAGTCGTGTAGAATTTGGATAGACATTTTTCACTCATTAACAAACGTGTATCTTCTTCTCCCCACGATTTTGTTGTTGGTATTAGCATTTCACTAGCCGAAACTTTGCAGTGCATTAAGTGTGGCACCTTTTTCTTCCCAACTTACTCTTTTCACACACCTAAAATTTCTCCCAATCTCACAAACAAATTAATGCTTGTTATAGGGACCAGCATTAATCTCAACCAACTACAATCTTATTGGAATGCACTGCCAAAAAAAAAAATGGTGTAAGAACACACTCTAAACAAGTGGCAAGCATTGGAGTAGGATTTTGGAGTTAAAACTTTCCAAATTAAGATAGATATTTAATAAATAGGGAGAATGGTAGTCCCTTCTGCTTTGTACCTAGGGTTATTAAGAACTGCCTAATGGAGTAAGCTATCCAGCTTGGTCTTGCCCACTAATATATCACTTGTCATATGCAAATAGACGTCTCAACTAGAAAATCGAAGAAGCACACAAACAAGAAGAGACTCACCA